CTGCACAGTATATGTTATTGTTTCATTAGTGTGACCTTAATCATTCTCAAATGTGTCAGGTATTGTTGAATACAGTAGTCTACGTAACCCAGGACCCGAGAGCACCAAGCTACATGCTTGCCTAATTGGGCAAGAGGTACAAAACTGGAAATTCTTTTTCTCAGTTGTTAGCTTACTTTTAAAGAGAAGCGGTTGGTTTTCAAAAACAAATTCAAGTCCAGATAGTTTGTTTTCACAGTGAAAGGTGAATCTTAACTTTCTTAACTTTCAGCATCTAGATGTATACTACCCGGCTTATAATCTTAAGTATATTTTATGACTTGTCTTTTTATGAGTGCAGAAAACCTTGTAGTTTTTCATTAACATTCTAGTCTTGACCTTTCTTTGCTGCTCAAGAAAACGTCACTAAGGGGAATACACACATACACACATGTGCACACATACACACATGTACATATTCATACACACAGAGAGCATTTTATTCATTGGTCATAGATTTGTGTACCCATTCTGCCACATTTACAAATGAGCTGATCTATAGATCTGTTACTGGGTTCTTGTAACATTCATTCATTAATTCCTTGCAGAATATTTGAAATGAAATGAATAACAGCCTTTTTTTTTTTTTAAGAATTTGTATATTTATTTGACAGACAGAGATCACAAGTAGGCAGAGAGGCAGGCAGGCAGAGAGAGAGGGGGAAGCAGGCTCCCTGCTGAGCCAGGAGTCCAACTCGGGGCTTGATCCCAGGACCCTGGGACCATAACCTGAGCTGAAGGCAGAGGCTTTAACCCACGAGCCACCCAGGCGCCTCAATAACAGGTCTTTATAACAGAAAGTTAGAGCTACAGTGTATTGTCTTCTCTCAAAATAAATAAATGAAAAATTAATAAGTTAATAAAGTAAAATGCAGGCTCCAAATTCAGACGTATGAGTTTAAAAATCGACCCATTAACTGTTAGAACCTCTTGGTATCTCCCTTTCCTCATCTTGTAAATTTTGAGGGTTAAGTCAAGTCAAGTCAGTGTTGAGGATTAAGTGATTTATTTTTCATAATGTACCTAAAACAATGCCTAGCACATAGCATTTAGCTCTCATTATGTTTTGCTGTCTCTTCTCACCTTGGCCCAAATGTGGTAGAAAATATAAGAAAAATTAGGTTGCAATTCATATATCTGAAATAAAATTTTAATAAAATTACTTTCCCCTCTCCCCAAAAAATGTGAGTCATGGAACACTAATAGTGAAAATGCTTGAAATACTTAATACTTAGAGTATAAATGTTTATAGAATAGATTTTGTCTTGGAATGAATTAATAATTTATTTTGGAAATGTGGAATAAGCAAGCAAACAAAATTTACTGATATGTAAGGCAAAACAAATCAGATTCCCCCTAAATGCTGATGAATACTTTCTGGTGGCAAGTAGGGCAGGATGCCAAATCAATAGTTTGCATTGCAAATCTACAAAGATAAAGAATCAATTAACTGTACTTTTGCAATGCATTGCTTAAAATCAGTAATTTACTCAAAGCTCAAAGACAAGGAATAAGTGAAGAAACAGTTTACATTATAAAATATGATTCTAAATTTTTTTTACTCTAAAATTTTAATCATGAAATGTTTTCTAAAAATACCAGTAAGACACAGGACTTGAAAAAAGAAGACACAAGACTAGTCATGTAATATTAACCATGTTAGCTATATATTAGTGAATATGATTTTTTACATATTATAGTCATAAGATGATATTAAACCTGTTATAATTATGGATTCATGTATTCAGCCATACTAATAAATAGTCATAATATCAGTTGCTATCCTCTGTATATTTTTCTATCTTAGCTGCTTGGAAAGGGCCCTCAGCAGATATCTGTCAAACGGATTCTTCTTTTTAATAGCCAAATTCTCCAATAGCTTGGGGGATTTGGTGAAAACCATCTGGACTGTTATTGTCCTTAATCTAAATTAAGTGTTGTTTATGCTGTGCTAGACAGAGTGTCTAAATTGATATCTAAATTGGTTAAGACCTCTAAAAGCAGAATATAGGAATTTTAAATTCTGAGTTGCTGATAGGGCAAATGAGTTAACACATGGAAAGCGCATCAGTACCTTGGTCATTGTAAATATTCAGTAATACTGTTGTTATCATCTTGAAGAAAAATTTCTTCAGGTATTGTATGTTTATGAAGACATGACTAATCTAAGAAAAATAAAGTCATAGTCTAGACTTCATGTTAAAACAAAAAAAGAAACACTAGAAAAATATCTTCAATATTTAAGTTAGGCTCCAGTGACAGACCTATAAAGGGAAACACTGAGAAATTTACCAAATAATATTTAAAATATCTGTGTTAATGAAAATGTTCAACAAAATTAAATCTAAACAAACTTCAAAAACATATATGCAACATGTGATAAAGAATTAATATCCTTTATAAGTAAAGAACTCTTAGGCATTGACTTTAAAAAATGAGAAAGGTTCAAAAGAAAAAATAATTACCTGAGGGTAAACATATAAAAAATGTTCAAACCAGCTAGCAACCCAAGAAAGGTGACTTAAAACAACTACAGGTTGCTATTTTAAAATCAATTTATTTGGTTTTTAAAATAATAATGCACCAGTACTTTATCTGCACATCCAAAAATTTGAAAGCTCTAAAAACTGCCTTTTGTAACTCATTTGGCAGCAAAATGTAACCTGACTTGGACACTCTGGAAGCAGAACTGTACTATCTGATATGAAGTACTCCTTATTTGTGCCTTTTAGTGCAAATCACATTATTTTGGTTGCATAAATAGTCACGTGTTTGATTATAAACTGCTTCCCCAGACTCTGCTTGGAGTGTTATGGGAAAGTAGGCATTTGCATCATGTTAACTTCTGAAAATCAAAAAAATTCTTAATTCCAAAACGAAATGTCCCTAAAAGTTTTGGCTGAGGAACTGCCTACCTGCTTTTAATTTGACAGGGCAGAAAAACAAAGTCATTCAGCAACCCCCCAGTAATATTACAACCTGTTCTATTTTGCGAGTGGGACAGTGATACTCTGGCAATGTATATCAAAAGCCATAAAAGCGTGTATGCCCTTTATGCCAAAACTCCACTTCTAGAAATTTATTATGACTAAGGACTCGGAAAATGATGAAAGATGTAGGTTTTAGTAAGTCCAACATAGTTGGCATATAACAGGTAAAAACTGGAAAAACCCAAATACTCAGCAACAGAAGAGGTGGGTTCGAACGGTCTCTAGCCACACCTCAGACCACCGCTGCACTGCTTTTAAGTGATATTGTACAGTAATACTCATTCACATTGAAGATGCCTTTGGTTATCTTGTTAGGAAGAAATATTGGGCTACAAAAACAATATGCACTGTATGATGTAATTTCTTAAAAATTATTTGTAATTATCTATGTCTGAAAATACTTTTGGATATTCACCAAAATATTAATAGTGGTTATCTCTGGATGGTCACATTGCAGATGTTTCTAATTTTCTTTTTATAACTATGCCTTGTCTACAGTGAACATGTGTTATTACTACAATAATAAAACTTTAAAGTTCATTTAAATATATCATTTAAAACATGCCAATATATCTGACTTAGATTCCAAGTTCTCTCTCTATATATAATTAATATCTATCAGGAAGAATGTAATGTTCATCATATTTATAGGAGTTAATAATTATAAAGGCTCAGTCCATTATCATATGGTTTCACTTATTTGTGGAACATAAGGAATAACATGGAGGCCATTAGGAGAAGGAAGGGAAAAAATAAAGGGGGAGAAAACAGAGTGGGAGATGAACCATGAGAGACTATGGATTCTGGGAAACAAACTGAGGTTTTTAGAAGGGAGAGGTGTGGGGGGATGGGTGAACCTGGTGATGGTTATTAAGGAGGGCACGGGTTGCATGGAGCACTGGGTGTTATACGCAAACAACGAATCATGGAACACTGCATCAAAAACTAATGGTGTACTGTATGGTGACTAACAAAACACAATAAAAAATGGATTAAAAAATATTTTTTTAAAGATTTTATTTATTTGCCAGAGAGAGAGAGAGTAAGCAAGTACACACAAGCAGGCAAAGGCAGCGAGAGAAGCCGGTTCCCTGCCGAGCAAGGAGCCCGATGCGGGACTCGATCCCAGGAACCTGGGATCATGACCTGAGCCGAAGGCAGCAGCTTAACCCACTGAGCCACCCAGGCGTCCCAATGGATTTAAAAATTTTTTAAAAATTATAAAGGCTCAGTGTATTTGAAAAACAGTATCATACAACAAAGCCTTGTTTTCAAATAGCATGTTTTTGCCTATAGAAGCATCTACAGTATTGTTGATATTTTAAAAGTGTATGTATGAAAATTAGCCATGAAGAATGGGAAATATGAACCATATTGCCAAGGCAAGTGGGTTTAAGATTTTAGACTTTACGAAAAAAAATATGCCCAGAGAGTATACTGGCAGCATTCAAATTCTGACCCATGTGGAGAGAACAGCAAGCTAACCATCTTGAATTGTGGGATGTCAGTTGAGAATTTATAATGCCTTTGTTTCAGTCATCAGAAACAGTTTGCAATCCTCGGAAATGTATTTTGACAATATGATCTTTATCCTGAAATACTCCTTTTAACAATACAAATAAATAAGAAAACTGAATGCACTTTCAGGAAAGCAATTTGCCTTCTGGACTGGCCTTGAGTGGTGATAACACGAGGACGTGCCATCCTCCCGCTTGGCATGCGATAAACAGCTAGACCCAGCAGTCTATCTGCAGAGGAGAGAGCTCTGTGTTTTAAATGCCAATTTTCAAGTCAGTGCTTCTTGTAGTTTGTACAAATATGCGTCAGAAATTTGGTGCTGACTCTGAATGCTTTATTCTACTTTGGTGGACTACTTCTGCAATCCATGAACAATTAAATTGGATTACTTTTTATTAGAAATTGTGATATCTGTTGCATCTTTACTGAAAGAAATAATTCTTTATTTTTCAGAGCTTCCGTATGGCTGGGAAAAAATCGATGATCCCATATATGGCACTTATTATGTTGAGTAAGTCTCTAAGTTTCCTACTAATTTGTTACTAATATGTGGTGAAACTGTGTTAGTATTTTAGTTATTGAGCATGCATGGCCAGCTGTGCCCCTACCTCCCTTTCATCTTGGAAGTGTCCGCAAAGACTCCAGGAGCACCAGCTAGCTGTTTCTTCCTTCTCCAGCTGTGGCTAATTTGTCATTCTTTTCCTTTGACTCATGAATCTAAAACACCAATTGGAAAAGTGTTTCACACTGTCCTCTAAATGAGTGATAATTAAAGATATCAAAGTAAGCGCCCTTCATTTTGCAATCAAAATGTTGGGAGCTGACTAGTTGTGCCAAAGAGATGTTCTATTAAACTAGATTTCAAATCCAGTTAAATGAAGCAGCCATACTTTCCAGTGGAAGGATGAAATAAAATTTAGATTTTTTCCCCCCTTTTAAGTCCCCATTTCAAATCAGTAATTTTCTTTCTGTAGATTAGACTTTTTTGTTACCTAATGGAGGTCACATTGCTTTAACGTATCTTAGCATATGAGTTCTCTCTCCAATCCGTTATTTTATTTCAAATAAAGCCCCTATTAAGGATTAAATTATATAAACATTAAGGAAAATCAAGTAGTATTCATAATTTCCAAGAGTTAAATATGCAGCTTACTTTTCTAGAATCCCCTCTTCTGATAGAGAATATAGAGAATTTTTTTAAATTCCTCATTGTAATGTTGTTAATGTTATTTGGGTGAATAGCAAAGCCTACACATTGCCTATGAGAAGTGTACTACCCAAGAAATGCAGAAACTGAAAAACTAAAGGTGTTCACATTATTTATCAAGATCTATCTCTGTTTTCTCTAACCACATTCTGTTTAACAGTAATAATCTAGACGGTGAAGGGTAGGAGATGAATGGCATTATTGCGAAATTGTTTTGCTAACAGTGTTCAGTCACTGAGCTTTTCCTAAGTGTCAAGCCCTTCTTTGTGCTAGGGAGGTACTGGTGAGTAAGGCTTGTGGGCTTCCTGTCCTTGAGCATCTTTCTCATGAGCTTGGATACTCTGAACACCATCTTTATTTGGAAAAGCCCCAATTTTGGTAGCACAGTCATTTCCAGTCCAGGAAAATTCACCTCATTTACCTCATGCAATTTTTTTTTTTTTAAGATTTTATTTATTTATTTGACAGACAGAGATCACAAGTAGGCAGAGTGGCAGGCAGAGAGAGAGGAGGAAGCAGGCTCCCCGCCAAGCAGAGAGCCTGATGTGGGGACTCGATCCCGGACCCTGAGATCATGACCTGAGCCGAAGGCAGAGGCTTAATCCACTGAGCCACCCAGGCACCTTGCAATTTTCTTCTATAGTATCTAATACTCCAATGTCAGGCGGATGCTCAGTAGATGCAAAAAGTAAAATAAATGCCTGGAGGTGTCACTAATTGCAAAAATAAAGGGACGTCACTTGCATATAGATATGAGGAAGGCACCTTGGTCCCCCTACATTGCTAATCAATAAAAACACACACATTTTAGTAATAATATAACTGCAGCTTCTGGATAGATGTACCAACATTGCCAGTTTCCAGGAAATGCTGCCTAGTTTTACGTCACTAAGTCAGGCTGCACTATGCCTAGCCTATTACACCTGAAATCCAAGGTAGTTCTATGTAAGGAAAGAGAACTGAGGGACGTGACAAACCAGATCTCATGTTTAATACACTTCTTGGCAGAATTCACTGAACAAGATTTTTTTTCCTTTAGTCCAGATGTTAGCAAATTCCAGTAAGCCCCAGATAGCAAATATTCTGGGAGGCCTATGACCTCTGTCACAGCTATTCAGCTCTGCCCCTGAAGCTTGAAAGCAACCATTAGACAACACTTAAATGAAGGGGCATTAGCTACCATCTAATAAAAGTTTATTTACGAAAACAGGTAACTGGCCAAATTTGTCTTACCGATCCCCACCCTATTCTAATTCTTCAGATTCTTCTTCCATGTGCTCATATGCTTCCAAGCTGGCTTCAGTGTGGAAAATAACATTTAACTCAAACCTTTCTTCTCTGCCTTAATTATCTGTCATAGAGGTGAGACACCTAACCCATCAGAAAGCAGTGCTTCCTACCTTGTCTTTCATTAAAGAGCTGCTGCTGGTGGACACTAGCTGTGACCCTAAAAGATAACTGTCCTCATTATTCTTATCCTTCAAATGATTGTCTTTTTTATTTGTTTTTGCTTAGATTATATTTGTCTGCATTTCTCCCCTTCATTTTTCATGCATTCACTGTCATAGTCAGAAATTGTTCCTAAGTTAGCCAGTCATGTCTTACATCATTGAACCAGTCTAACACATTCAATAATTTTAGATTTCAAGTGATTGTGATACCACAGACACGGGTCTTAGTGAGTCAGATTTAACTTTCTTCCGATTATATCCTATTCTACTATTTGTCATAATCCCCCCCCCTTACATGATTCTGTAACATATACTAATGCCAATAATTAGATGTGTGGGTGTCTCAAACTGACTAGAAAATTGAGATAGATAATTCAAGCCTAAAGATAATTTTAAGTAGAATTATATTCCCATATTGCTCAGAAGTGTCCTTTGGAAAAAATTCATCAAAATAATTAAAATACCTCAATTTATTCTATATAATGTAAATGTTGCTTGAAATCAGGGATATCTTCCATCACAACAAAGACAACTTTTCCATTTTACCTGAAAATGTCTATTTATGTGGTTTGCTTTAACTGTTCAAAAAAAATGAGCTGCATCTCCATTACACTATTATTTTCACAAGGTATGCATGGTTCTAAATAGTAGTGTTGGTGGAAACTGTACGGATACGTATGTGAGCACAGCGGTTGTCACTTTCAGCACACAGAGTATGTTTGTTAGGAAAAGGTCACCAATTTCTTAGAGCTAATTATACAGAAGAACAATAACTGTCTAATTTAAGGCAAGTTTCTCTATCAAGTGTTCATTTTAGACATCATAAGTATAAGATATAAAATGCCTGGATGAGGGCACTGTTGATAATTATAGTGATAGCATTGATGTCAGTATCTTGGAATCATAGAAATTTGTCATATGAATATTCAGTTAATGTAACGAAGCAAGGTGGTCTTCAGTATAAATCTGTATTCAAGAAAATGTTGGTTCAGTAATTCTAGTCATAATGACAGACAATGGGTTTTCTGTAGAGCTGTCATTTTTGGTGTTTAGTCACATACTCACAGAATTAGAGGTGCAGTTAAAAAATATGACAGACATTCCACCTTTCCACCTAATGGCAAAAAGAAGCCCGTGCTAGGACACTAGAAGTCTAACTTAGCCGTCAGCTGCTCTCTTCTAATAGACTAACCACTGGGAGCAGAAGTCGCACTGTGGTCCCTCTGTTGTCAGCAGGTCATAACAGGTTGAAATGAGCCCGTGCCTCTGGCATAGTTGCACATGCCCTCTTTCTTTCTTTCTTTCTTCCTTTCTTCCTTTCTTTCTAAAGATTTTATTTATTTATTTATTTGACAGAGATCACAAGTAGGTAGAGCAGCAGGCGGGGTGGGGGGGGGTGCTGCAGGGGAAGCAGGCTCCCCGCTGAGCAGAGAGCCCAATGTGGGACTCGATCCCAGAACCCTGAGATCATCACCTGAGCCAAAGGCAGAGGCTTAACTCACTGAGCCACCCAGGCGCCCCAAACACATGCCCTCTTTCTCCTTGTCAGCCCTAGGCAAGGAGATAGGAATTCCAGCAATCAACAGTAGGAAAGTTTTGTACAACTAGAAACTGAAATACCTGGATTGAATCGTTTTGACCACTATTACTGACTCTTCTTTTCTATGCCATCAATCTGTCCTATGCAAATTCAGTTTTAAGTTGATACGTTTAATGTATTCAAAAGTCAGAAAAATCATTACCGCCATCATCATTACTGTCTCATCAAAATAGTTAACATTTATTGAGTACTTTGTATGTGCCATGAACTGGGTGAAGTGCTCAGCTGTCTTTAGCACATTTGGAATCCTCACTATAGTGGTAATGATGTAGATTGTCTTAAGTGTGCAGACGGGGAAATGCTGGCTGAAGAAGTTAAGTAGCTTACCCAGTTTCACCCGGTATTGAGAGGAATGGCTGTTACTTAGACCTAGGCACTCTGACTCAGGAGCTTAGACTCCAAAGTCTTGCTCCAAATCATCATCCAGTAAATGGAGCACTCAAAATCTGTAATATTGTAAACAACCTCTGAGACTCATCACTAAGAACAATGAGGGGTCCCTGGAGAATGTCTCCTCTCTGGCCCACCTCTAGTAGTTTTGCAGTCACGGAAAGATGTCTGACAGGGGGAGGTCATACAGCACACAGCTGGGGAGACAGTCTTCTGACCCAAGCATTCTGAGTCTTTCGTTCCATTCCCAGTGACTCGGGGATGGTTCTAGACAACATGGCCACTGGTAGTAAGACATGTGGGGCCTGAAGGAAAAGGAGTTCATACTGGGTGGACCTCAACATAGGGTTGTTGGCACTGCTTGGAGCAGTTGGGGCAGCACACAGTTCTGCATTTTAGAAAACAATGGGCCCCACTCAACATCTTTCCTTATTTCATCTGCAGACAGAGCAGATGGACCAAGTTTCTCCTCTGTGGAGCAGCAGAAAGAAGTTAGCCCAATTTTTCCTGACAGACACCAAATCCATGAGAGTACAACACTTAGCAATGTATTAAGAAGTCCTAAAGTTGCTAACTAGAAATGTAACTGTCACTGTTCATAAAGAAAAGAAAAAAAAAACTTTCAATGAAAAAAGTACAAAATGTAGAGTTGAACAGCTGTGACTTTTGTACAAATGTGGTTTTTTTCCTCCTCTTTTGTGAAATTATGTCTGCTGGGTACAGTTTGGTTTTCAATGGCAGTTACACAATTTGCTTAACTAGCTAGTCCAGAAGACACAATTTCCTGGAACAGCTTTCATGCAAAGCTACGTCCTCTGGCATAGACAGAGAAGCAAACCATATAACTGCAGTTAAAATGATAG